GATAAGTGAACAGACCTAGGGAACGTGTGAGTGTACACATGCAACATAACACAATATACATCTGTATTTACTGCCTTATGTGTTGGGCTGTTGGAAACCTTTAGTTCGCACTTACCCATCCAGCTCCCACTCAACGCCACAGCGTTCAGTTTAGTTTCCTCCCTTTCATATTTGTCTCCCTTCTATGATATCGAGGAATCTGGCTGTCATGATGATTAACATATTTACTTCTTTGAGCAATCTCCTTTATGTTACCAATCTCCAGTTTTCTCTATAGATGCATTTTCCTTTTCAGGTAGATGCATTCCTCTTCCTTCTTGGATCTGATTCCTCACAATGGCTGAGGTAGAAGAGTCGCTTCAACCCAGGAGGTAGACATTGCAGTAAGCTGAGATCATGCCACTGCACTTCAGCCTGGGTGACAGTGAGTGAGTCTCTGTCTAAAAAAAAAAAAAAAAAGAAATTGGTGAAGGCAGCCATCTAGGGAGGCCCATAATCACTCAATGACTAACTGATAGAGAATATGAAAGTCCAACCCCCTCATCTCAAGGTAAAAGAAACTACAGGTGCAGTTATGTTCTTAGCATCTCCTTCCCCATCACGCTATGTGGATCTGGCCCAGCCCCTTCCTCATTCCTATTCCAATGCCTTCACTCCCTTACCTTCCTTAGGTTCCTTCCTTCTGAAAAGCACTCCCTCAATAAATGACAGGCATCCGAATTTCTGTCTCATGCTCTGCTTCTAGAGATCCCAAACTAAGATAACATTTTATAATCAGTTTATACATGCTTCATGGGTGCTTTAACAAGAATACACACACACACACACACACATATATACACAAATTATATATATATAATTTGTACATATGTGCCTATGTATGTATGCACACATATCACATTGATCTTATTTTGAAATAGTAATGGATGTTCCCTTTCCCCGGTATATGCTTGTTTTCATTTCTTACCTCAGTTCAGACAGAAACAATAGCTTTCTATATTCTCTGTTACAGGGAAAAGACTAATACAGCTTAGAATTAGGAGTCAAGTTATGGTTGTGCTTTTCCAAATCAACTCCTGAAACTCATAGCAGAGGAAATAATCTTGATAGCAAAGGTGTTCACTGCTAAGAACCACCCTATTTTTTTCCTCATCTCAATAAATGCCAGCACCATTTACCCAGTTGTTGAAATGAAAATCTCGAAGCTATACTTGATCAATCTTGCTCTTTCTTTCACATTGAACATCTGGTTCTCTAGCAAATTCTATTGGCTCTACATTCAAAATACAACCCAAATCAAATATTTTCTCAACACTTCCACTACTATATCTATTCTGTCTCTCTCTCTCTCTTTCTTTTTTTTTTTTCAAACACACAAGACTATAAAAAACAATCATAAGATGCTGTGCTTGATGCCTGGAGGTTTGCTATATTAAACATTTTTTGTTTTTAATTTTCATGGATACATAGTAGGTGTATACATTTATGGAGTGCATGAGATATTTTGATAGAGGCATGCAATATGTAATAATTACGTCATACTATATCTATTCTCACCTGGATGACTACCATTAACTCCTAATTTATCTCATTTCCCCTCTTGAATCCACCCTCACAATCTTCTTCCTACAACAAACAGGCCAAACCTTTTAAAATGTAAATCAATCCCCTCGTTCCTCTCCAGAACTCTCTATGAACCTCCGATCCCACTTACAATAAAGTACAAAATCTGCGTAATCTGGATCCAACTCTTCTTCCAACTTCTCTTTTCACACTGCCTCTCACTTGCTCTTGCTTCCTTCGTACTAATGCACAGTCCTGCTTCAAGAAAATTTACACTTTCTAGAACAATTTTTTAAATATGTATCTCATATCTCAGTGACTCTCTCCCTACTTAATTCATATCTCTGCCTAAAGGTCATTTCCTCAAGGAATACTTTCTCAATCTCTCAATTCTTTCTCTTTCTCTCTCTCTCTCTTTTTTTTTTTTTTTTTCCTGAGACAAGTTCTTGCTCTCTCACCCATGCTGGAGCACTGGAGTGCAGTGGTGCAATCACAGCTCACAGATGCCTTACCCTACCGGGCTTAGGTGGGTCTCCCGCCTCAACCTCCCAAGTAGCTCAGACTATAGAACTGTGCCACCATTCCTGGCTGATTTTTGTCTTTTCATTTTATTTTATTTTTTTAATACAATTTTTTTTTTTTTTTAATTTTTGAGACAGAGTCTTGCTCTGTCACCCAGGCTGGAGTACAGTGGCATGATCTCAGCTAACTGCACCCTTTGCCTCCTGGATTCAAGAGATTCTCCTGCCTCAGCCTACTGAATAGCTGGGATTATAGGAATGTGCCACCATCATTGGCTAAGTTTTGTATTTTTAGTAGAGATGGGGTTTCGCCATGTTGGCCAGGCTAGTCTCGAACTCCTGACCTCAAGTGATCCCCCCACCTCTACCTCCCAAAGTGCTGGGATTATGGGCATGGACCACCACACATGGCCTCAAGCATCATCTTTAAAAGTATTCTTCACTACTCTCTATTTTCTGACTGTACTTTTGTTTACCAGAGTGTACTTTTACCTACACTACATTTGTATCTCTTATTCGTTTATCCACTTTCTTCATGTAATGAAGGCTTATAAAAGACTTATCTATTTTGTTTACTATTATTTCTTCCACATATCTAATAGTGTCTGATACATAATAGCAGTTCATTGTTACATAAATGGATGAATTAAGAATGGTTACATGAATGAACGACTCAAACTAATGCCAGGCATTGGTTAGTTTTATCCAACTAAAACTATTTACTTCGTTAGATCATGCATATTTTATGCAGTTTGGTAGTTTGTTTTTTCCTGAAGTTTATGACATCCCTTTTTTTCTCTCATTTTGTGTAAAAGCTATGTTTGCTCACCTCACATTATCTTCAGTATCTTTAATATGAATCATGCCATTTAGTCCTGAATTTTAATCTTAGTTTCATTCCTTGATTTTATTCTTCTTGAACCCCACAGACTTTTGGCTCTAATTTGAACTTACGTCTGTATAAACACGCATTCTTTTACAGATATTTCATTGACCCTTACATTTCTAAGGGCCTTTCTTAATCCCTTGGGTGGTTAAAATGAAAATCTTGGATTTATACTTGACCTTGCTCTTTTGTTCACATCGACCATCCAATCTTCTAGCAAATCTGATCAGTTTTAACTTCAAAATCTAATCCAAATCCAATATTTTCTCAAGTCCTCCACTACCATGCTTATTTCTCAGCTGGATCACTGCCATGATCCCAACTTAGCAACCACACTGTCTTTGTTTTAAACTTTATTTCCCCCTAGAAATACTTTCCAGGAGCCTTCCATCTTTCTGCTCTGATTTGGACAGATTGCTCTCCAGGCCTGCTTTAGAACTGTCATGTTGGGACTTCTCTTTATTTCTATTTTGGTTTAAATTCACCTTTTACTGGATCCAATGTCTTAATCATGCTTAGTTAATCCATCATTTTGCCAAAGTATATCCTCAAATCAATCTCTCTCACTGACATGCTCTCACGTACGTGTATACTACTCTCAATTTCTAAAATCTTCCCTTTATCCTTACATCTTTTTAAATTCATCTGCATCAGCCCTCCATGAGAGTTCTCAATCTGAACACTTGTTTGTCCCTCTTCTATTTTTTTTTCTTTCTTTTTTTTTTTTTTTTGAGACAGAATCTCGCTTTGTCACCCAGACTGGAGGGCAGTGGGCTAGTCTCAGCTCACTGCAACCTCCACCTCCCAGGTTCAAGCGATTGTCCTGCCTCAGCCTCCCTAGTAGCTGGGACTATTGGCGTGTGCCACCACACCTGGCTAATTTTTGTAATTTTAGTAGAGACAGGGTTTTGCCATGTTGGCTAGGCTGGTCTCCTGACCTCAGGTGATCCACCTGCCTCGGCCTCCCAAAGTGCTGGGATTACAGACGTGAGCCACTGCGCCTGGCCTATTTTTTCATTGATAATACCTCCTATGTTCACCCCTTCCATTTTCTCCAATTTAGTCTCTATTTGAACTCCACTGAGTCATATTAGGACCCTTAGATCAATCATTTATATGTAAGATTTTTCCTTTATATTTTTTACTCTCTATTATTTTGTTCTATATTCCAGGAGATTTTATTTACTCTTATCTTCCAAAGTTCATAGGCAATTTCTGTTTTTTAATTATACATTTTCATTTTCCGTAGCTTTTATTTTTTATTGATACTTTTATATAGCATGTAATTATTTTTCATAGATGCAATATCTTAGTGAATGTCTATAAAGACAGTAAACAATTTCTGGAATGTTATCTTTCTTCTGAAAATTGCCTTGATTTCCTCTTGGTACTGTCTTTTTATTTTTTATATTTATCTTCTACTTGCAAACATTTTTTTCTTTTTTTTTTTTTTTTTTTTTTGTTTTTAAGACAGAGTCTCGATCTGTCACCCAGGCTGGAGTGCAGTGACTGGATCTCAGCTCACTGCAAGCTCCGCCTCCCGGGCTCACGCCATTCTCCTGCCTCAGCCTCCCGAGTAGCTGGAACTACAGGTGCCCGCCACCTTGCCTTGTATTTTTTAGTAGAGATGGGGTTTCACCGTGTTAGCCAGGATGGTCTCGATCTCCTGACCTCGTGATCTGCCCATCTCGGCCTCCCAAAGTGCTGGGATTACAGGCTTGAGCCACCGCGCCCAGCCTCAAACATTTTAATTATCAATCCATAATGTTAATATGAGTAATATCTTGGGTTATTGGTTCATAAATAATAGGAAAAAAGTGCTCTCTTTGTACATTAACAGAGTATGTTGGCTGATTCTTAAGGGTAATGAGTCAGATACCTGGCTTTTATTTCAGATGTGCCTTACATTCTAGAATTAAACGAGATTTAAACGAGGGTGCCAACACCCAAATTCACTTCTTTACTTCTTACCAGAGGGCTCTTTTGAATCATTTAGAGAACTGTACTCTGTTGGAGGTTTCACTGGGTACATGCCGGCAGCAGGTTGTTCTGCATGTGGAGGTTTGAGGAGGGGGTGTAAAGTGCCTGGTGCTCAGTGATATATGACATTTCCATGTTCGAACCTGGACTCCCTCCTCCTCATTTCCTCTGTGGTAATTGTACAATGGATTCCCACAGCCTGCTATATTTGTTGGCATTCTTCAATCCACTTTCTGTCTTCCAGACATTTGATAAAACCTCTTGCCTGATGATACCACACCTTTTTGTTCTCTTTGTGCATATAGTAGTTTTAAAAAATTCTATCAACATCACTGGGAAGAGAGAGAAGATTAAGTTTCCAGTCTACCCTGCAGACTCAGAGCCATTAATGGACTATTGCTGCCTTTTAAAAAAAAGCATGTAACCACATATTTGATTCAAGTGTTTTCACCCCTCTAATAAGAAACAAAAGTCCATCATAAGATCTGTCTTACTGTCTTTTCTGACCCTCACAGGAGATCTTGGCCACTGAATATTTGTGGACCTCAAACTACATATCAGCAAAATTGAGAGATTTCTAAATGATTTCCACCCTAAAATTATAGCTCTAAATCTATGGCAAAACATTTATTAATATGTTTACAAATATTCTTCTGGTTATCATAGAATGCTTACTGATGTATGTTCTAGAATGACAAAACAAGAATTAGAAGGCTTAGAGTTATTGAACAAGAAAATGATTATTCTCCAAAAAAAAAGAATTATTTTTCCATTATAAGTTATATTCTGAGGAGGCAAACCTAGCTGGCATTAAAACAGTAATGTTTTATTTATAGGAAAAAAAATAAAAAATTGACAGCTCAATTCACTTTAAAGACAAGTCACACCAAAATATCATAAGGATTCTTTCCTTTGCAAATGTTTGTATTGCTTCCTGAATCTTTTTCCTATTATGAGAACCAGAGAACATGTAGCATACAGTGATGTATTGGCTTTTGTTCACAGCATGTTCATGACAATGCTATGGATTTTGGGTCAACTTTCTGCAAATGAGATCTTAGATTTCGACTTGTAAAAGTTAGTGGGTTTGTTTGTTTGTTTGTTTGTGCTGGTGAGACACAGGGACACAAAATGGCAGTTGTAATTTTTTATTTTATTTTATTTTTTTTATTTATTCATTTTGAGATGGAGTCTTGCTCTGTCACCCAGGCTGAAGTGCAGTGGTACCATCTAGCTCACTGCAAGCTCCACTTCCCGGGTTCACGCCATTCTCCTGCCTCAGCCTCCTGAGTAGCTGGGACTACAGGCGCCCACCACCATGCCCAGCTAATTTTTTTGTATTTTTAGTAGAGACGGGGTTTCACCGTGTTAGCCAGGATGGTCTCGATCTCCTGACTTCGTGATCTGCCTGCCTCGGCCTCCCAAAGTGCTGGGATTACAGGTGTGAGCCACCGCGCCCGGACTAGTTTCTTTTTAAAGAATAAAATTGTATCATCAACTGAAAATATTTACCTTTATTGGTTCTTACCTTGAAGAGTTTGGCTTAATCTGAGACAGCAGCCTGCTCTTTAACGTGTCTGTAAATTTAACATTATTTGAAAAGCTAATGAAGCACTTTTTAGTTTCTACTTCCTTTTTGAGTGTACAGTTCTGTTGATGGATGAGGAAATATTTGGAATACATATTAGTAAATTCTGACACATACATGTGCAGAGTTTTATGTATGCATGTAGGAGAATTGCAAGGATCGCGAATGCATCACAAAACATATTGGCTCTGTTATAATTGGACCCTGGAGAAAAACTGCCCTGCTGCAGCTTGAGGCTTTTCTTCTGGGAATGAAGAACAAAAACAAAAACAAACAAAAAAAAACATCGCTTTTTTCTTACCAGTTTCATTTCTATACACCTTTAGCATCAATTTAAACTGCAGAAATAATAGTACTAAAATATATACTAGAAAAAAAGTTAAACTTCATGGAAAGAGTATCTTCACAAATCAGATTCTATTTCCTGAAGTTGTATATTTTTTGGCAAACTTGTTTTCATTTTATCGAGTCATTCACGATTATAAAATATTCATCCGAGATTATTTACAAGAGTAGGTAAATTAAGATGGAATCACCAGATTCAAGGAGTCTATATCTTTCAAAAAGAATCTGTTGCTTTTTTTGGGTGACAGGATGTCCTTAGTTTTATGTTATCCCTAATGGGAATGTTCAGAAACTTGTTTTAAGTGTCAATTCTCATATTCATTATGTGAATAGTAAACAAGCTTGTGTCGGAGTTTGGTTTGAATAATCTTTGTTTATAACTTAGTCTCTTTTTAATTGCTCAGTTTTCTGTAGTCCCAAATCCCTTTGCTCCTCCGCTTCACATGGGGCTCATCACATTTGTCTTTTTTTCTGTTTTGTGCATGTGGCGTTTTTTTGTTTTTGTTTTTGTTTTTTTCCATCCTGTGAGATTCCTAATGACGGAGATCATATTCTATTAATTTTTGTTGCTCCACAGCCTAGGTTGGTATTTGCCAAGAGCTACACAGAGTGTTGTTAAGTTTATTACTGAACTATCTGTGCTTTTAAAAATGCCATCTCTTTTTAGCCATTTTCTCTCTCCTCTAAATTCATAGAGAAGTGTAAAAATAAGAGAATATTACACTTTAACCAAGCTGCTGAAAAGTAGGAAACAGAATGAAATAATGAGTAACTTTTTACAAATAAGTCGAATCAACCTAGATTTTGACAAATCTAGGCAATAACGAAGACTTTTAATAACCATAGAAAGAAATTTTGTTTTTTTTAGAAGGCTTATGAACAACAAATTATCATTGCAAAGCAGTTTAAAAACACAAAAGTGGCTAAAGAGTCTAGGTAAATGTACTAAAGCTTACAAGCTGGATTATTCAGTGTTTCAATAATCTCCAAATGCCTGAAGTACGGGGACCACCCTGTGTCCTAATGAACACACTCATCCTTTCCTTAAATAATTCCCTTACTTTGATAATTTATAATTTCACTCCCAGTTTCTTCCAATTTGTTGTGGAGCAACTTCCATAAAGGACACAGTCTCTGAGATGCAACCATTTGAAATTAATAATTATCAGGTCATGACTACGGAAAAGAAATTATTTAGTCAATGCATTAGTACAAAAACAGCTGATCATTGGTCTGCTCACACTTCCTCCTACCTTCCTCCACCTTCCTCCACCTTCCTCTCTTTGTCCATAATCTGGTTTCTGTTAAAGAGCCTATTCTTATACTGTTTGAACCTCATCTTTCACCCACATACATTGTGCTGCTTTGCAGGTAACCATGACAATATTTCACAGGACTGAGGTTAGGTGCCATATGAAATGCAGCCATGCTGTCTTAAATTTATTAGCAAACACACCTTTCCCAAAACACACACACAAAAACAAATGTCATGTTAAAACTGCATGACATTTGGGAACTCTTAAAATACCAAGTGTGCAATCAAATGATTTAATGAGTGGGGGGAGATAATGATTCTTTTGCTGGGAACAAATAAAAGCATATAAATCCTTGCTAATACAACAACAGTATCTTAATTTTTTCTACATTATTATCCCAAGTACTTTCACTTCTTCAGTATCTGCCTCCTTAAGATTTACATTAATTAGAAACATTTTCTAACTAATAATCACAACAAGGTTGAAGGTAGATATATTTTCTGGCTTGCAGCTTAAAAGATAAATATTGTTAATAATTGTTAGTCATTTAGTATTTCTAATCAGACAACTGTGGTATAACATGAACACACTGGTCAAGGAGTAAGAAGTTTGAGATTCAGATTCTGGGCAATTATAGCAATTGCTGGATCATCCAGAGTTTTTCCCATATGGACTATATTTTAAGGTTTTGTTTACTCACATTTACTAATTCAATTATCTCTTTACTGGCAATTCAAGTATCTCCCATTCTTGCCTCTCTACAGAGCTTTAGTTCATTACGGAGTTGAAATAAAAGCATAAAACCCATCCAAAATAAATCTTTTTTTGAGCATTAGTGGAAACACTCTCTTAGACACTGAGGCTAAAAGAAAGATACTAGATGTTATCCCAGAACTTGGAGACATAAGTCACATCTTATTTAGCCTTTCTCTAAATGGTTTCTTTCCTTGTTAAACTAGTATATATTTCACAATCAATACTGTCACACTCTTAGGTGTTCCCAAAAAATGTGTGATACAGAGGCCCAGCCCTCAGGAAGTTCATACTCTATCTATCCCATTATTTCTTCTTCCACTATATTTCTGTAATTCTTGCTCTTATGTCAGTACTAGAGTCAGTGTCTTTTTCTTGAACTTTGCCCAGTGTCAATTACCCATCAGATTAAATTCTTGAAAACAAAGCTTCCAACATATCACTAACTCTAAAGGCTTCCAACTGCATAAAATTTGTCATTGAAGGATCTCCAAAACATGCTTCTCAGCAAACCTTGTGTTATTCCATTACCATATTTTTGCCAACATTGTTCCTTTTACCAGGCACTTCCCATTGTTTTTAGTTCATCAGTATTTAATGACCAAGTTAGGCTACAACTGCTCTTTGAAGCCTTCTCAGACGTTCAAAATGATATCATTAATAATAAATAAAAACAGCAATAATAATAATATCTAATAGTTGGATACTAGGTCTATGTTCCAGTTATGTACCATGGTAATCATCTTACATGCATTATCTCAGTCTCTGCGTTAATTTTCTATTGCTGTTGTAATAAATTAATACAAATTTACTGGCTTAAAACACAAATCGGTTCTGAAGGTTAAAAGTCTAATAAATTCCGAACCTGGCTCCCCATTTCCTTTTTTAAGGATCCTTGTGATTACAGTGGACCACCCAGATAATTCAGAATAATCACTTAATCTCAGGGTCTTTAACTTAATCACATCTGCAAATTCTCTTTTGTCATGTAAGATAAAATACATATTATCTCCCATAATAAGCTCTTATTTTTTCCACAAGAAAATCTTTCTGGGTGAGATGAGGACTGTATATCATATGGGCAACTTATGTATTTTCCTCCATGGGAAGTAACAGAGAACTGAGAGAGTGTGGAGCCATTATATCACCTCAGATGTTGTAGAGTCGATGGGAGTGGGTGGATATAGGAGACTAGTGATTAAAAACATGATCTCTGTATTCAGAAAATCTGGACTGGACTAACGTAACGCTTCTATTCGCATTATGTGACCTTGAGAAGTTGCCTTTAAAAACTTTGTGCTTTAATTTCCTCTTCTTCAAAACAAGGACAATAATCATCCCTATCTCATGGGGCCACTTTGAGGATTAAATGAGTTAATCTATGTAAGTACTTCCAAAAGCTATTGGGATGTACAAGTGTTCAAGAAATGTCAGCACTTACTGTTGTTATTATCATTACTAGACAAAGCTGTGGAGATACCTGTGCTATCACTATCAGTCAGAAAGTGGGCAGCATGACTGTGGTGAATTGAAGTGCAGAGCAGAATATGAATGCGAGATTGCTATTAATAAGAAAAAGCAAAAGACATTTTTAATACCTTGCAAAAAAGACTAGAAATAATATCCATAAAATATGTTTTTAGAATGTTTCTATGTGGTGAATGATACAGAGCATTTGGTCCGGAGCCTGTAAAAATAAACTTCTCTGATGATGTGTATTTGTCTTCAAAGCTACTAGGATTTATTTTTGTATTTCCTTTTGTCATAGGTTGGGCTTCCTCGAAATTGATCCTGAGATTAGGATTCTTGTTCAAGTGATGTCTTACAGATAGGGAAGCGGTAGGAGCAGAACAGGTCAGAGAGGTGCTTTCAGAAGCTAGTTTCATCCTGAGAGCACGGTGGGGTACTCTGAGTGAAAATTAGACAAATAAGTTAGTTCCATGTTGGGGAAAGGACCCAGCCAGTCAGCACAGGTCTGGGTGAGAAATAGCCTTCTAGGTGAGACAGCTTCAGTTTTGCAAGTCTTGGGAGAAGGGGATGGTTGTGAGTTGATAACAGCTGATGCACATAGCGACTGGTACATGGGTGCACTAGGCAGTTAAAGGGATCTGAGAAGGACACCAACACCATCCACTGTATGTATTTGAGTTCTTTTCTGTGTATTAGGATCTTCTTCTTCAGATTGCCCTCTTTCTCTCTAGACTGTACACATGAACCCAAAGAAGAAAAAGCCTTCTGCTGCTCTACTAGGCTTCTTCTGCTATGTATTAAGGTCATACTTATACATAATACTATGTAATCTGATGTTCTCTCTGGTTCCACTAATCTGAAGGATACAAAAAGGAAACAATGGCATTGACAACAAAAAAAACTCCCTTGCTCAACTCCACCAGCAGAGTGTCTATAAAACTTATTCCCAACCCCTCCTTCCTGGGTTTAGGGTACCTCATGCTGAGGAAGCATAACCTTTCTCTTCTCTTCTTCTACCTTGATGTGCCCAACATTTCTTCCTATACTATTTCTGTTTTCCTATTGGCAGCCATTACTCAGGTCATTTCCACCACTTCTTTCTGATCTTAGTGTGGCTGTTACTATACTTACCTGTTTCTCTTAACAGGCATTATGCCAAACTGGGTGGAAATGTCTCCTTCTGCACATACATTCTATAAAACATTGTATTCATACAATTGTCATGATGAAATGCTGCCCTGTGTCATCAGTCTCCCTGAAAGACTGTATGAGTGTGGGCAGTTAATATTTATTGAGCTCTTACTAAGTGCAGCGCATGGACTTACCACTTTTAAAGATAATCTCATTTATTTCTCACAAGAACCCAATAAGATAAGCACTCTCATTATATTCATTGTCTAGCTGAGGAAATGAAAAGATCATAGAGAGAAAGAGGCAGAGATAATTAATTAAGACAAAATAGCTTGGAAGTATAAAAGCTGAGATTCAAACTTTAGGATTGTCTGTCTCAGAATCCATGCCTTAAAAGAATCTAAAAAATATATACTGCCTCTTTTTTTTCTTTTTCTTTCTTTTTTTTTTTCAATACAGGCTTTTCCTCCTCTGTGCTTATGCATAAATTGTAGAGGGTAGAGAGCAATCTGAATGGAATAATTGTACTCCAAACACAGCATCCCGTTTAAAGACTATCATTGGACCAACTCCATTCACGGTTCAAAGTCAACGTCTTACCAATTTTAAGCTTCACCTAAAAGTTTTAACGTCGACTCTTATTACTGGATGGTTTAGGAGTCTTAAACCTGTAAGCCAGTTGTCAATCTGAAGAAATAAGAAGCTCTCTTATAAATAAGCTCCTGTTTGACCTTCCTTCCAATTCTTCAAATTTGACACTTTCCAACTGACTTGTCTTCTGTATCCCTGCTATATTTCATATTCATTTCTCTCTTTTATATATATATATATATATATTTTTTTTTTTTTTTTTTGAGACAGAGCCTTGCTTTGTCAGCCATGCTGGAGTGCAGTGGCACGATTTTGGCTCACTGCAACCTCCTTCTCCTGGACTCGAGCAATTCTCCTGCTTCAGCCTCCCGAGTAGCTGGGATTACAGGTGTGTGCCACCACGCCCAGCTAATTTTTATACTTTTAGTAGAGATGGGATTTCACCATGTTGCCCAGGCTGATCTCAAGCTCCTGACCTCAGGTAATCTGCTTGCCTTGGCCTCCCAAAGTGCTGGGATTACAGGTGTGAGCCACCGTGCCCAGCCCATATTCATTTCTTAACATGTACTCTTATGTCAGTAATTGTGTCAGTAATTATTTCAGATACGCTATAAGGATCTGCTCATAGAAAAATGATCCAACAAGGCAGCACAGAGATATATCGGAAGTGAAAAACAATGGAAAGACTACATAATAAACATAAATCTGCATAAATATTGACTTTATAAAACAATATAAACAATGTTTTAAGGAGTTAAAATACTTTTTAATAATAACACAAAAAGCAGGAATGGTATAAATCAAGTTAATATGTTCCAATGTGTTTGCATTGTCTAAGAAATGCTGAGTATTAGTTTTTATTAGACTTTAATAAGTCAGCAATGTAACCATTAGAGTAACCACTAAAAGAATAATATATAATTATCAGTCTAACAAGGCAGAAAATATAAATAATAAGAAAATAATCTGAGAGAAGGCAAGAAAAAAGGAGCACAGCAAAGGTGGATAAATAGAATGCAGAGAGTAGCGTGGCAGATTTGAACTCAAATACAATGGTACTTACAGTAAATGTAAATAGACTGAAAACACTAACAAAGATTTTCAGACTGGATTTAAAATAAAAATTTAAAAACCTATGCTGCTTACAAAAGACATTTCTTAAGTTGAAATAAAAGACTAAAAGTAAAAGGATGAAAAAAAATAGTATTCAAAAACTAACTAAAAGAAAGCTCATACTAACAGTGGCAAGCAGCATTACTACCAATAAAGAGGAATATTTCCCAATTAAACTTTGAGTCACTAGAATGATATGGCAATTCTAGACTTTTATGTACCTACTAACATTCTCTTTCTCTAGGTAAAACAAATACATAAAAAACAAATTCACAGCCATAATTGGAGATTTTAACACATCTCTCTTTGTAAATAATAAAACAGGTTAAAAACCAATCAAGATGTAGACTTGAACATTACTAACAAAGTTGATCTAATTACATATTAATAAACTTACAGCTAAGTTATAGAATTCACATTCTTTTCAAGTTCACATAGAATGTTTAACACAACTGATCATATGCTGGGCCAGGCAAGTCTTCACATTCTTCAAAGTACTAACATAGGTACCGAGCCCCCGGCGCTTGCCTGGGAGGGAGGCGAGGCTGCCCGCGTCCCCGGAGCTCCCGATCCCTGGGAGGCGGCCCCGTCCCCCTGCCATGCGCCTGGGGGACGGAAACACGGGACGGAGTTATCTTTAGCTCCTATACCACCACCACCACCATCACAGCGCCTCCCTCCAGGGTCCTGCAGAATGGGGGAGATAAGTTGGAGACGATGCCCCTCTACTTGGAAGAAGACATTCGCACTGATATAAAAGATGATATATATGACCCCACCTACAAGGATAAGGAAAGCCCAAGCCCCAAGGTTAATTATGTCTGGAGAAACGTCATCCTTATGTCTCTGCTACACTTGGGTGCCCTGTTTGGGATCACTTTGATTCCTACCTGCAAATTCTACTCCTGGCTTTGGGGGTTATTCTACTATTTTGTCAGGGCCCTGGACATAACAGCACGAGCTCATCCTCTGTGGAGCCACCCCTCTTACAAAGCTCGGCTGCCCCTGCAGCTCTTTCTGATCATTGCCAACACAACATATCATTCCAGAATGATATCTATGAAAGGGCTCACGACCACCGTGCCCATCACAAATTTTCAGAAACACATGCTGATCCTCGTAATACCAGACATAGCTTTGTCTTCTCTCACGTGGGCTGGCTGCTTGTGTGCAAACACCCAGCTGTCAAAGAAAAGGGTGGTAGGCTAGACTTGTCTGATCTAGAAGCCGAGAAACTGGTGATGTTCCAGAGGAGGTAGTACCAACCCCAGTTTGCTGCTGGTATGTGCTTCATTCGGCCCACGCTTGTGCCCTGTGAAACTTTTCAACACAGCTTGTTCGTTGCCACTTTCTTGCGGTATGCTGTAGTGCTTCATGCCACCTGGCTGGTGAACAGTGCTGCTCACCTCTTCGGATATCCTCCTTATGACAAGAACATTAACCCCCCGGGAGAATGTCCTGGTTTCACCTGGAGCTGTGGGTGAGGGCTTCCACAACTACCACAACTCCTTTCCCTGTGACTACTCTGCCAGTGAGTACCGCTGGCACATCAGCTTCACCACATTCTTCATTGATTGCATGGCCTCCCTGGGTCTGGCCTATGACTGGAAGAAAGTCTCCAAGGCCTCCACCTTGGCCAGCATTAAAAGAACCGGAGACTGAAGCTACAAGAGTGGCTGAGTTTGGGGTCCCTCAGGTTCCTTTTATAAAAGCCAGCCAGGCAGAGGTTTTAATGTCTGTTTATTAACTACTGAATAATGCTACCAGGATGCTAAAGATGATGATGTCAACCCATTCCAGTACAGTATTCTTTTAAAATACAAAAGTATTGAAAGCCAACAACTCTGGCTTTATGACATTAAGCTGATGTTATTTCTTCTCTTATCCTCTCTCTCTTCTAGGCCCATTGTCCTCCTTTTCACTTTGTTGCTATCGCCCTTCTTTCTCTTATTGCCTCCCAGGCAAGCAGCTGGTCAGTCTTTGTTCAGTGTCCAGCTTCCAAAGCCTAGACAGCCTTTCTGTAACCTAAAACGAATGGTCTTTGCTCCAGATAGCTGTCTTTCCTTGAGCTGTTGTAAGCTTTGAAGTAGGTGGCTTGAGCTAGAGATAAAACAGAATCTTCTGGGCAGTCCCCTGTTAATTATCTTCAGCCCAGGCTTTTGCCAGATGGAATGGAAAAGCAACTTCATTTGACACAGTGCTTCTAAAGCAGGTAAACTGTCAGAGGAGAGATTTAGCATGTATGAATGTAAGGACGAGGGAAGTGAAGCAAGAGGAACCTTTTGCCATGATCAGACATGCAGCTGCCTACCTAGTGAGGACTTCAAACCCCACCACACAGCATGCTTGCATTCTCTCCTGGCTCGGGGTAAGAAGTGGCTGTGGTGTTTGGCAATGCTAATTCAATGTCACAACATATAGTTTAGGCTGAGGATAAAGAAGAGACGTTTTGAGTTTGTAGTAAAAATGGTCTCTGCTGGGGAAGGGTTTTCTTTTCTTTCTTTTTTTCTTTAATAACAAGGAATTCTTAGTTCATGTATCAAGAAATCTTGAAGTTGGGTGTTTCCAGAATTGGTAAAAACAGCAGCTCATAGAATTTTGAGGATTCCATGAGCTGTTCATCACAATTCTTTCCTCTTTCTGCTCTGCCATCTTCAGGATATTGGTTGCTCCCCTCATAGTAATAAGATGGCTGTAGCATATCCAAACATCCAAAGAAAGGGAAGGATTTTAGGAGGTGGAGTCGGGTCAAACATAAAATATATATACATATATACATTGCTTAGAATGTTAAACTATTACAGTATTTCCCTCCCAAAGAGGGATGTTTGAAAAAACTCTGAAGGAGAGGAGGAATTAGTTGGGTCGCCAATTTCCTGTCCACTGCTGGACATTAGATGGAGAGGTTGAGGGACAGGATCTATAGGCAGCTTCTAACAGTGAACTTCACATTGGAAGGGATCTGAAAACATGTTGCCAGGGGCTTGAGAATGTTACTGAGTTATTGGGAGTCTTAATGAAGTAAGCTAGATATTAGGTCCATTCATTAATTAGTTCCAGTTTCTCCTTGAAATGAGTAAAAACTAGAAGGCTTCTCCCCACAGTGTTGTGCCCCTTCTCTCTCTCTCTCTCTCTTTTTTTTTTTTTTTTTTTTTTTTGGCTCTGTTAACATCTAGCCTACAGTATAGAACTGCCTGGAGGGCAGGGTTAGGAATCTCTTCACTACCCTGATTCTTGATTCCTGGCTCTACCCTGTCTGTCCCTTTTCTTTTACCAGATCTTTCTCTTCCCTAAACGTTTTCTTCTTTCCCTGGACAGGCAGCTTCCTTTGCGTGTATTCAGAGGCAGTGATGACTTGCTGTCCAGGCAGCTCCCTCCTGCAGACAGAATGCTCAGGGTCACTAAACCATTGCTTCTCTTTCGAAAGTACAGCTAGCTGCCACTTTCATGTGGCCTCCAGAGTGTCTCCACTTACACCCCTGTGCTCCCCTGCCACACTGCTGGCTCAAGACAAGGCTGGCAAACCCTCCCAGAAACATTTCTGGCCCAGAGAGCCTCTCTCTCTCTCCCCTTCCCTCATGAGGCACAGCCAATCCAAGTGCTCACTTTGAGCCGGTGGGTCAGTCACAGAGCAAAAGAGGGTTTACTTTCAGTTCCCTCTGTCAGGGTCAGATCCAGAGAGCATGCTGAATGCCCTCTGCTTGCTCAGTAAGGGTGCCCCACCTGAGTCAATGCTGTCAGCTGACAGTACAATGCTTGTAGAAGTAGGAGGAAACAGTTCTCACTGGGAAGAAGCAAGGGCAAGAACCCAAGTGCCTCACCCTGAAAAGAGGCCCTGTTCCCTGGAGTCAGGGTGAACTGCAAAGCTTTGGCTGAGACCTGGGATTTGAGATACCACAAACCCTGCTGAACAGAGTGTGTGTTCAGCAAACTAACCTGTATTCCCTACAGCCTAGGGCAGACAAGAGTATAGAAGTCTGGAAAAAAAACAAAAACAGAACATCAGTGTTTTGAGGACCTTGGACCACTCCTGTCCCTGTAGCTCAGTCATCAAAGCAGAAGCCTGCCTTTGCTCTATTAAGATTGGAAATGTACACTACCAAACACTCAGTCCACTGTTGAGCCCCAGTGCTGGAAGGGAGGAGGGCCTTTCTTCCTGTGTTAATTGCAGAGAGGCTACAGGGGTTAGCCTGAACTAAAGGCATCCTTGTCTTTTGAGCTATTCATCTCAGTAGAAAAGAATCTAAGGGAAGATCACTGTAGTTTAGGTCTGTTGACCTGTGCGCCTACCCCTTGGAAATGTCTGTTGGTATTTATAATTCCACGGGTCATCAGAGGCCTGCTTGATAATATACGAATAATAAAAAACAACTTTCACTTCTTCCTATTGTAATCATGTGCCATGGATCTGATCTGTACCATGACACTACATCAGGCTGGATGGCACCTCAGGCTGAGGGCCCCAATGTATGTGTGGGTGTGGGTGGGGATGGGGGTGGGGGTATGTCTGCTGAGTAAGGAACACTATTTTCAAGATTCTAAAGCTCCATTCAAGTGACACATTAATGGTAAACTCAGATCTGATCAAGAGTCTGGATTTCTAACAGTCCTTGCTTTGGTGGTATGCTCACAACTTAACCCGGGTGCCTTACATCTTTTCTAATCACAGTGTTGCATATGCCCTCACTCCCTCTGTGGAATCCCTTTGCACCTGAGAGCCTACTGAAGTGGCTTGTAGAAAAAGGGACTGGAGTGGAGGATTAACAGTATCATGATTTGCAGGATTCCCTTCTGGGATTCATTCTGGAAACTTTTGTTAGGGCTGCTTTTCTTAAGTGCCCACATTTGATGGAGGGTGGAAGTAATCTGAATGTATTTGATTTGTAATTTTTTTTTAGGTTAAAAGATGGTTGTAGCATTTAAAATGGAAAATTTTCTCCTTGGTTTGCTAGTATCTTGAGTGTATTCTCTGTAAGTGTAGCTCAAATAGGTCATCATGAAAGGTTAAAAAAGGGAGGTGGCCATGTTATGCTGGTGGTTAAGGCCAGGGCCTCTCCTACTACTGTGCCACTGACTTGCTATGTGACCCTGGGTAAGTCACTTAACTATAATGTGCCTCAGTTTTCCTTCTGTTAAAATGGGGATATTAATACTGACCTACCTCAAAGGGCAGTTTTGAGGTGTGACTAATACTTTTTATAAAGCATTTTGGGATCCTTCAGCACAGGAATTCTCAAGACCTGAGTAGTTTTTATAACAACAATGTCCACCATGATCTTGATATGTCCATGTGTCCCAGATGCTGTCATTAGTCTATATGGTTCTCCAAGAGATGGAATGAATCCACTGGAGAAGTGGTGGATAACTAGCCAGAAAAAAATTGAGAATGCATAAACAACACATTGCCATGGAAGCATACAGAGGATACTTTTGATTGGGTGGGATTTTTCCCTTTTTATGTGGGATAGTAGTTACTTGTGACAAGAATAATTTTGGAATAATTTCTATTAATATCAACTCTGAAGCTAATTGTACTAATCTGAGATTGTGTTTGTTCATAATAAAGGTGAAGGGAATCCGAAAAAGAAAACAAAGTACTAAAATAACACAATAGCAGAAAGAAAACCAGAAAATCCTCATAGATTTGGAAATTAAGTAATAATCTTCTTTAAAAACTTGTATCTCAAAGAAAAAATCACAGTAGCAATTTAGAAAATATTTTAAAGTGAGTGTAATGAAATACTTTATTTCAAAACTTTGGGGATATAGCCAACCCCACACTTACAAGAAAATTGATAGAGAAGAAAAAAGACGGAAAAATCAATAAGCTAATTGCATCAATAACTCATTGCATCTCAAGAACAATGAGTGAAAATAGCACCCAGATCTTGGTTTCTAAATTCCATTCCTCATTAAAAGGAACCAGAGATCCCTCTCCTTACAGAAGTGCTTGATTGCCGGTTTGGGACAGGACAAGGTCAATCTGGGATATGCTGTTGTGTCTGAAAGCACAGAAATTCTCTAAAATGAGTGGGATTCAAAAGAGCAGTGTTGTTCTTGAAGAGGTTTATGGGTTATAAGCAGTCATGAAAATGTCCTAAGTCATCTGATTGAGAGAGTGACAGAGAGAGAGAGAGAGAGAGAGAGAGAGAGAGAGAGAGAGAGAAGCAATAACAGGGAAATAGAAAAGCTTATACAGTTGACCCTCCATATCTGTGGGTTCCACATGTGTAGATTCAACCAACTACAGATCAAAAAAGTTTCCCAAAGTTCCAAAAGGCAAAACTTGATTTTACTATGAAGTAAATTCACAAATAAAGTGATGTGATGTATTAGGAATTTTAAGTAATCTAGCAATAATTTAAAGTGTATGGGATGATGTGCATAGGTTATATGCAAATATGATGTCATTTTACATAAGCGACTTGAGCATCCTCTGATTGGTTCCTAGAACCAATCCCCCATGTGTACCATGGGGATGACTGTGTTTACAAAATATACTGCTTCATAAATATAGAAGAAATCACAGAATGAGAAAAATAATGCATCTTTCAATTCCAATGTAATAACTAATGCAGGCAAGAGTCATCAATCAATGGTAAAGTCATTAGGTGAAAAGTTTTTGGAGAACAACATATTTGAAACTCTCAAAATATTAGCCTACAGATGACATCAATTACAAAGCCATAGCTTTTACAATAAAAGAATCACAGTCATCTTCTAAAACAAGTGATCAAATTTAGACTCACCAAAAGTTGGACAACCTGATAAGAGCCTCAAACTTTGAAGCAATAAAAAGTGCACATCATTGCCTATGACGTATATCCTTGCCAAGAAATTATCTAAGTTGAATCTAATCATGTGAAAAGCACTCAGACAAATCCCGAATAAGGGACATTCTATAAGACAGCCAGCCTGGACTCTTAAATAGAACAGTCAATGTCAGGACAAACAAAGGCAAAGCTACTGTTCTAGATTAAAAGAGACCAAAGAGACAAAAAATCAAATGTAACGTGTAAACTTCACTGGATCCTAGATTTTGGGGAAAAATTTATAAAAGACTTTTCTAGCTATAATTAGAAGAGATTTTATATGGACTATATATTGATTATATAGAATTAACTGTTAATTTTCTTACAAATAAAAATCGTTGTATTTGTTTTCTATTGATGCTATTACAGATCTCCCCAAACTTGGTTTAAAAGAAGAGATTTTATAGGGACTATATATTGATTATATAGAATTAACTGTTAATTTTCTTACAAATAAAAATAGCTATATTTGTTTTCTATTAATGCTATTACAGATCTCCCCAAACTTGGTTTAAAAGAACACAAATTTATTTTATAGTTCTGTATGTTGGAAATTTGACATGGGTCACACTGAGCTAAAACCAAAGTATTGACAGGGCTGCCTTACTTTCTAAGGACTCACAGGAAGAATTCATCTCCTTGCCTCTTTGAGCTTTAAAATGCCACCAACATTATGGCTTTGGGGCTGTCTTTATCCGTCTTCTTAGTTAGCAATGTTGCATCTCTCTAATCATTCTTCCATAGTCACATCTCCCTCTGACCACATCAAGGAGAGGTCTTCTACTTTAAAGGAACCGTGTAATTAGATTGGACCCACCTGGTTTCAGGTTGTCAAGGGTTACTTTTTTCTTGCCCAACCACTTTTTTTTCCCCCATCTCATGGTCCTTAATTTACTTACATCTGCAAAGTTCCTTTTACCATATAGGGTAACTATTCAGAGGTTCTGGGTATTAGATTGTAAAATCTTTGAGGAAGAAGACAAACCACAAAGGTATTGTGGTTATTTAGAAAATTGTTTTTATTCATAGGACATGCATGTTTAATGATTTAGGAGTAAATCTGCAACTTGAATATGTATGTGTGTGCATGTATGTGTGTTATATGTATTAAGCACACACATATACACATACGGATAACCAACTGTAGCAAAATCCTAACAATAGTTGGATCTAGAAAGAGGGTTTATGGTTGTGTTCTGTTCTTTCAAATTTTCTGTGGGTTTAAATCTTTCTAAAGAGGAAAGGAGGCATATTGTTTAACTTCTTTAGTTCCCAGACAATACAGGAAACATGGGCTTTCAAGTGTGTATTGATGGCAGCAGTGGCCCGTCTAGAGCGGCCACTACCAAGACACCGGCTGCAACGGGGAGGCGCGGCCAGCGCTATAACACTCCTTGGAGCCAGAAGTCCCGCCACCCACCCCCAACTCCATGGAGCAAGCAGGAGCCCCTCCCTCCCTGGGTGCCACTGGAGCCGCTCTGCCACTGCTCTAGTCCCCTGCGTCTCTGTGCTCTTGGGGGCCCGGGAAGGCCCCCCTGTCTCCTGTAGGCTCAGAAGTCCCTGCTCCCGCTGCCTAGCTTCTTCTCGCTGTTGGCGCCCACTCCGATCTCAGGGGTGAGGCAGAGACTGCACACTCCATGGAGCCACCCGGAGCAGGGGACAAGCAGGAAGCCCCGCCCCTTCCAAGCTGGCAGGACAGGAGCTTCCCAGGTGCAGCTGCAGCTGCCCTCTTAGACACAGGACTCGAGCATCTCTGTAGTCTGCACCTTTGGGGGCCCAGGAAGGACCCCTGTCCCCGCAGACTCGGGGGTATCCGTTCTCGCTGCCATGCCTCTTCCTGCTTAGGGCACCTGCTCCCGTCTCAGAGTGGGGTGAAGCGTGGACGCTGTCACAGCCCGGCCAGGTGTGCCCACGCTTAGGGAAAGCTGACGCCCCAGCCCCCTGTCACCTTGGCCCCCTCCAGACGTTGGGCACTTGCAGGCGTGAAAGGGGAAGCCTAGAGGAAGCTGAGGGTGGTTCTAGAGCTGGCTCGCTGGTGCCCCTTGGTGCCAGCAGCCTGGGTATCAAGAATTGCTGCAGGAGGCACTCTCCTCGGTGGAAGAGGGCGGGTCCCTGGTGAGGCCCCACCTTCGGGCCAGGGAGGGCCTGAGGCTGGGGGCC